CTGGAGTGACTTTATCTGGTATAAGTCAGTTTTGCTTGGTGTCTAGTCTAGAGTCCTTGGGAGGATGTGAGGTCCTCCCTGCTGCTGTGTCGTGAGCCAAGTGAGCAGCTTGGTCTAGATGTCTCTCTGCAGTTCTAGGCTCCCTGGGGACAGGTGGATTGCTCTGAGTGGGTTTTAGCATATCCACGTGCACAAGGCTTATGGATTCCTCCTAGCCCAGGACATGCCTTAAACAGCCAAGGGCAGAAGTACCCATACTGCCCCATCTGCTGTAGCAAACCTGGGGCTGAAAGCATCAGTTGTGTCCTGCCAGGTACCTTCACATGGTAGTTAACTGTAGTGCTGTCCATCAGCCTTCTCTCTAATACCCATATAAAGTTGTAATTCACTGGCTGATCAGAGCTACCCAACAGAAATTGTGGGATAATCTGCATAATAATATGGGGGAATTAGTCAACTCCTGAAGAATATCTGAGCAGCTGGCTATAGGCTGTGAGTGAATATGAATTAAATATGTAATGTAATTAGTATCTTTCAAATAAATGTAAGGGGTCTGTTGAGTTTCTTCCCTTGTGCAACACCTCTCCTCTTCTCTGTTGGGAAAATATGCTGGAGTTCTTCCCCAGGTGCCCTCTGCATCTTTGCCTCCCAGCAGAATAAAGCTGTACTTCCTTAAACACTGGTTATTTGTGTGCTTAGTTCAGAGGAGGAATCCTGCAAGGGGAGCTGCAGCTGCTTCTGTTCAGGAATAACATCTCTGAGCTCGCTTCTTGCACTGTGATGTGCAGATACCTCCCTCTCAACCATCTGTGTGTGGTGTGGGTTGGTTTGCACAACTTTCCCAGGGAGCAGCTCAAGCACAAAGTCTGGGGGAGTGCAGCTCAGTAGGTCGCAGCCAGTTTGCTTAGACCTGGAGCTGAGTTCCCCTCACCGCGGCATGCGGGAAGTCATGAGCGGTGGCAGAGAGGCCAGGCCTCCCTGCCTGCATGCCTGGAAAGTCCTGCATCGGTTTTGTGTGGCTAACATGGGAAAGGTCCGCTTGGCAAACATGGAGGCTTGGAGGCTGCTGTGTCCTGTCTATATTTAGTTTTAAACAAGTTCTGGAGGAGGGAAAGGCTCTTGCTTGAGAAAGCATCCTGTTGCCGGGAGTGCAATGTGGCTGAATCACCATCACTGTTTGCCTTGGATTGTGGCATGGGCAGTGTAGATATGGGGAAGGGGCTGAGCAGAGGCAAGGAGCCCTGTTGTGCCTCTCGTCTCCCTGCAGATGAGGTGTGTCATGCAGAGCAGAGCTAGGGATGGAGCTCAAATCCCAGAGTTTCTGTATTTGGATTCATCTATAGCATCATGTCGTCTTCTTCAGGTCATTCTCTGTTTGCCTCTGCAGTCCTGGACTTCTCAGAGAAGAAATAATTGTCATCTTCTCCCCTGGAAGAAGCATTTAGGAATTGGCGAAGGAAGGAATCTGAGCCCAGGTCATCCCTTCAAGTGCATGCTAAGTGCATGTGTCAGCACCACGTGTCCCCTGGGTTGCCATGCATCCAGACTGGTTGCACCCTGGCACTGTACTTCACAATCATAGAATCATAGAACGGTTTGGGTTAGAAGGGACCTCAAAGATCATCTAGTTCATGCTTTGGTCTTGGTCTTTCTGTGCATCTGCAGGCCTCCCCAGAGCCTAACTGCTCTCATTTCCAGTTATTAGTGAATTTTTCACGCTTCTGAAACACCAGTCACATGTATGTATGCAGTGCTGGTTTAGGAGAAGGGGGTTTAAGCAGGGGACATGCGTCATTCATTTGAAGGGATGCTTCCTGAGCTGGGAGTTTCTGTTCCCACTGTGTAGGGGAATTTGTAACCTCCGTGTTTCTGTTTTTTCTTCCCCTTCTTGCCTGGTTCTGCCATAGGGTGTTTATCGACCAAGGGGAAAAACTGCCTGTCCAGCTGTAGGAGGTAGTCAGACTGCCATCAGGGAGTGCCCCTCATGAACCATTCGTGAGGAAAGGAAAAACTTTCTTCACTTAGAATCATAGAATGTATTGCGTTGGAAGGGACCTCTAAAGGTCGTGTAGTCCAACCCCTCTACGATAACCTGGGACATCTCTATCTAGGTCAGGTTGCTCAGAGCCCCATCCAGCCTGACCTTGAATGTCTCCAGGGATGGCACTTGCACTACCTCTCGGGGCAGCCTGTTCCAGTGATCCACCACCCTCATATTAAAGTCCTAATGTCCAAACTTAGACCTTGCTGAGATTTGCTGCCCCACTAAAGCAAGCTGAATGCAACCCTTGGGTTGGAGGAACATGCCATGTCCCCCACTGTCCCTACGTCATGCTGAATTTATGCAGGTATAATGCGTGAGCAGTGCCCTGGCCCACACCTTCTGCCTTCTATAGGACTGAAGGTGACACATGTGCTTCTTCCCAGAGCCCAGAGATGACATCCCTGCCCACCCAGGCAACACGGTACATTGAACCTGAGCTTGGTCCTGAGAGCAGGATTTCCTTGTGATCATCTTTGACCACCACTTCTGGTAGCTCTCCAAAGCCCCCCAGAGAAAAGGGAAAGGTCTGTAGCATCTGCTTGGATGCTTTTTGCAAGAGGCACTTGCCGCCCCAGAGCAGTGGATGGTAAATGCAGCCAGGATACGCTGTGATCCTCATTCTGGGCCCTGGTGGGAGGACGTGTTCCTGTCTCCAGCTGCCGAGGGCTACTTTCTCCTTGGGTTTTTCTCACCATTGGGTGTCTCAAATTATGGGGTATGGAACAGGAGGGTGATTTTCAGAGCTGATGGGGACTCTTTCTCCACTTTCCAGGATCAGTAAACCAGACGTTAGTTTGCATAAGGCAGAAGAAAGACTGTCAGGAACTGTCCAATGCCCTCAAATTATTTTTATAGTCCATCCACATGTTGAGGTCCAAGGGGACAGTGTGAGTGCAACAGGTGTGTTGCTTCCACTGATCCAAAGTAAAGGAGCCCTGTTCCCTCCCCCAGACTGGAGAGAGCAGCTTCTGGCACAGATCCACATGGAACCTGCTGATCTGTAGGCTGGGGATGTGTCTGGGTGGCTGTGCCGGAAAGTAGTTTATTCCTGATTGCAAAGGGCCTGGGAAGTTCGGTGTCCTCGGCAGCTGTGGCCAAGGCTGAGCCCTGCTGCGCTGCGTCTCCTCGCTGCACGGGCAGCATGGGAAGGCAGCAGTATCCGGGGGAGAGAGGGAGGAAAAGTGGAGGAGAGGCACTGTGCACACCCTGTTTTTGTGAAACCTGTGGGATACAGCTGGATAAGCAATAGGGCTGATACAGGCTGGAGAAGTATGTGGGGAGTGGGAAAACAGAGGAACCAGAGAATGGGCTCCAGCTTTGTGTCTGTGCGTGCTGAAGGGTGAGTGACTGGCACTGACTTGCAGTGCTTTGTTCTGGGTGGTAGCAGCTTGCTGCAGGGCAGGACTGCCGACGTGGCTGGGGAAGGACAACTTGCCAGCCATGAGAGGCAGGAGAAGAAGGTGGGATGCTCAGGGAGACCCCGTCGCTGACACAAAACCCAAACTTGTGCCCAGGGCCGCAAGGACTGCTATCGGGCAGCCCAAGCCAGTTCACTCTGCAGCAGTGCTGTGCGCGGGGAGGCTCTCCAGCCGGGCTGGAGCTGACTCACAGCACAGCGGTCACAGCCAAGTCAGGTCAGCCTGGCCTGGAGGGGAAGAGACGGTCTCTGGGGACAAAAAAATCTTCCAGCTTCTCAGGCAAAACAGCCTTGCCCTCTGCCTGCTGGGGTGACCTCCTCTGCCAGGCATGCATTCCCCTCCCTGTTCCCTCTTGCCACCACTGTTTTCGGCTCTGCATCTGGAGGTTGCCAGCCAGGTATAGAGCAGATGGGTGAGCCAGCAGGGAGGTGGGAGCATGGAAGGAGCCACAGGCACGCTGGGGGAGGCAGGCTGGGGCAAGCAGACCTCTCTTTGCTCAGCAGAGAGTATTTGTGGTAACCGAGGCCAGGAGCTGCTCAGCTGGGCATTTGCAGCAAGCATGATTCGCAGGAGGTGAAGCAGCTCAGTTTGGCACCAAGAGCACCCGCTTCTCCGTGAACAGCGGAGGCTGTGGGGCAGAATCAGGGCTGACACGCAGGGCTCCCACAGGCAGCAGAGCACTCCCCCGCTGGCCTGACCTTGGCTCTCACCGGCTGAGGCAGACGTGCCAGCTGCTAGTTAGTGATGCATTTAACACTGCTGTGTTGCACATCAGCTAAGGACTCGTGTGACTAAGGAGAAGGGACTGAAGCAGGCTTTGGGATCTGTCCCCCAAGCTGGGCTCCAGTTTGTATCGTGAGAGTGGGGTCCGGCGTGATACTCACCCAGCCACACAGCACCGGCACCCAGCCTGCTCTGTGGTGTGCGTGGTGCTGGTCTCTGTGCCAGCAGCGCTCGTGCGGATCTTGCACCGGCAGTCAGAGCCACGTGGCTCTTCAGCTGCTGGCTCTGCAGTGCCCTTAGCCTTGCTGTGCCAAGAGGCACCAGGATATGCTCGTGGCTGCTTCTCCCAACCCTGGCAGCTGTGACGGATCCCTCGTAAAGTCCCAGGTCTCTCTTCCTGGTGTCTTTTCCTGGGCTTTGTTTAGGATATGAAAACAACCTTTCTATTCCTCTCTGAGGACTCTCTCCCTCCCTGCCCTTGTTGTGGTGGGATTTCAGGGCTAGACCAGGGCTGGGGGAACCAAGGCACTGAGGCTGCCTCCCAGGGAGGAGGCTCAGCCCTGGTACCACATGCAGCTCTGTCCCCTGGGGAGCTGCTGGGCAGGCTGGAGCTGGCCATGGGGGCCTTGGGGTTACAGCTGAACCCAGGCGGCAGTCGACTGGTTTCACGCTGTCGTTTGTGCCCAGAATAGGAGCTGTGGGCAGGCCATAGCGGTGGAGGAGAGGGAGGCATGGTGCAAGCTTGGTGCTGCTTTCACACTGAAGGGCCCCACGATGATGCCTCTGGAGCACTTTTCCTTCAGTGGCTTTGGGCTATGCCTTTGAGGGGACCACAAACTCTCAACTGGAGGTCCAGCAAGCATGCACCTAGGAATGGCTGTTACCTGGGGACATCCTCCCTGTGCGGCTCAGACACCAGTTACCACTGACTTGCCTTCTTTGCTCTTCCTTTCACAGTCCTCAGTATGCTCCAAGATCGTCCAGCTTTTGGGCCAGAATGAAGTGGACTACCGCCAGAAGCAAGTAGTGATTGTGAGCCAAGACAGCTTCTATCGGGTCCTCACCTCAGAGCAGAAATCCAAAGCGCTCAAAGGCCAGTTCAATTTTGACCACCCAGGTGAATGGAGAACAGCACCGGGGCTCTGCCACGCAGTGGGGAGCGAGGGCTGGAGTGGGACCCCCCTGCTCCACCAGCAAAGAGCCTTGCAAGGATACTGGGACTCTGTCTCCACATGGGGCAGGAGTGGATGGCTTAGTTAAGATCTTGTGGAACCAGGTGCATCCCCGGCAGGGTGGCTGGGGGCCACCTGAGTCCCCTGCAGTACAACCTCTGTCTCTTTTGGGAAAGAAGCTGCCTCTGGGGTGGACTGTTTGGGATGAGGAAGGGCAGGTTGTGAACCCTTAAACTTCTTAAGATGCTCTTCTCCCTGCAAAAACATCCCCCAGTTTGAAAACCTTTCTGATGCAGCTGGGTTGAGACCAGGGACATCTGGCCTGGCACAGCCCTCTGCAGCCAGTAGCTCTGTGTCCCTCCTTCAAGGAGGGAACCGTCTTGTGCAGCTGCTCTACAAATCCCTCCACCGAGGGGGCTGTGCCCTGTTGCTACAACAGGCGTTCTTTGAACCATCTCTGAGCTTAGTGGGGAAATTCCAGAGCCGCTGTGCCTTCTGCCCCACAAGGACAATGGCTGGAGGCAGTGAGCACGAAGCAAACAGAGCCCTGTCTGTCCAGCGACTTGAGGTTGAAACACTGCTCCAGTCTCCAAGGGTTGGAGCCCTGCAGGAGATGCCTTCCCAAGCCTGGGCCGTCAGTGCCACCGTACAAGGGCAGTATTGATGTCAGCGGGCCAGATCCCAGGCTGGTGCAAAGCAGTAAAGCCTCCGGGAGAGTTTGGCCTTGCTATGCCCATGGGGATGTCTCTGTCCCCCATGTGGGGTGCCAGTGGCTCTGGCTAGGCTAAGCTCAACATCTGGTGGGTGGGAGAGGTTGCAAAGCTGCCTCGGGTAACGTTTCCTCTCTCCTCAGATGCCTTTGACAACGAGCTGATCGTGAAAACGCTCAAAGAGATCACGGAAGGGAAGACGGTCCAGATTCCTGTCTATGACTTTGTCTCCCACTCCAGGTCTAACAGCTGCTCCTGCCTTGCTGTGCCTCTGCTAACGCCCTGTGGCGCAGCGCGCAGCCCTGCCAGCCCAAACTGCCTGCCCCTCCGCTTGCGCCTGCTCTTAGGAAGTTTTAATCCTAACTACTCCAGACCCCTTGGTTAGAGGATCCAGAGCAGATATGGGCGCAGTCTGAGGGTCTGGAAAGCTGCACAGCCTTGCAGTGTCATCCAGCAACAAAGGGGCATCATTGGAAGGGGGTTATGACCCCCCTTTTCTTCCTCCATCCATACTTCCTCTCCACATAAACTCTGTGTTTGCAGCTTTAACAAGTGTTCCAGGCTCAAAGAGCCTGGCACTGCCAGGAAGGGAGTAGGACGACAGTTCTTGTTCCTGTAACTCTTCCCTTGCATGTGTTCAGCTTGTTTTTGCATGCTTGTGTTGGCCATGGATAGTGTGACCCCGCTCCGTTTCCCACAAAAGCATTGTGGTGTCAGGGAAGCAGAGTTGGCCCTTGCAGGTTCCTGTGAGTCAAGCCCCATGCATAGGCTTTCTGGGCTTTATGGCTTGGCACATAATGCTTGCAAGCAGCAGCTGGCTGAGGTGGGGGGAGAAGGGCTAGTCTGCTTCCTGCTGTGCCATTTGTCCTTCTAGGAAGCGTACGTATGCCTTGGATTCCCTTCGCCATGGTGGGGTAGGTCTGCCCTCTCCTTGGTCGCCCCCCTGGTGCAGCAGTGATGTCCCAGGGTTGGAGCAGTGCCTAGGAGCACTGCTGTTCCCCCCCACCTCTCTTGGCTTGTTTCCCCCCACCAGCATATTTTGACTCTCCTTCCCTCTGCTAGGAAAGAGGAGACGGTGACTGTCTACCCTGCCGACGTGGTGCTCTTCGAAGGCATTTTGGCCTTCTACAGCCAGGAGGTGCGGGATCTCTTCCGCATGAAACTCTTTGTGGACACGGATGCAGACACTCGGCTGTCCCGCAGAGGTGAGGTTCGAGCATGCCTTGTGCAGCAGGGACAGAAATGTCACTTAACTGATCTGGGCAGCTGGTCACAGAGGCAGGTGACCGTGACCAGAGCAGAACTGGAACTGGCACAAAGCTATGCTGCTGCTAGCAAAGATTCAGGGAGCTTTTCCTTCCCAGTGCGGACTGTTGCACAGGGCAGCTTATGGCACTAGAGAGCACCTTGCTCCATGTCTCTTAGGATTCAGTGGGACTTTTGCTGCCTTGTCTGGGATTCCTCATTTGATGCATGCAGCAGTGTGGCTACTGAGTGTGCTGTGTCCTTACATGGCCCAGTGGCACCAGCCCTGTGCCATCAGCTGAATGGCAGCTACTACTACATACCCCAGGTCAGCAGGTGCCTGCAGGGAAGGGTGCAAGGGGCAAGGGACATCTTGACAGTTCAATCGGAAGGCAGTGCCTGATGGATCTGCTTGGGACCTGGGGTATAGGTGTGCTCCAAGGATAGCATTTGAGTCTAAGGTATCACAGAATGGCGGGGGTTGGAAGGGACCTCTGGAGATCGTCTGGTCCTGCAGGTTCACCTAGAGCAGGTTGCACAGGACCACGTTCAGGCAGGTTTTGAATATCTCCAGGGAAGGAGACTCTACAACCTCCCTGGGCAGCCTGTTCCAGTGCTCTGCCACCCCCACAGTAAAGAAGTTTTTCCTCATGTTCAGGTGGAACTCCCTGTGCTCCAGATTGTGCCCATTGCCCCTTGTCCTGTCATTGGGGACCACTGAAAAGAGCCTGGCCCCATTCTCTTGACACTTGCCCTTTAGATATTTTATAAGCATCCATAAGACCCACTCTCAGTCTTTTCTTCTGCATGCTAAAGAGCCCCAGGTCTCAGCCTTTCCTCATAAGAGAGATGCTCCCGTCCTCTGATCACCTACGTAGCCCTCTGCTGGACTCTTGAATAGTACCATTTCTCTTGAACTGGGGAGCCCAGAACTGGATACAGTACTGCAGATGTGACCTCACCAGGGCAGAGTAGAGGGGACGCAGAACCTCCCTCGACCTGCTGGCCACAATGTTCTTAGTGCACCCCAGGACGCCGTTGGCCTTCTTGGCCACAAGGGCACATTGCTGGCTCATGGGTAACTTGTTCTCCACCAGGACTCCCAGGTCCTTCTCTGCAGAGCTGCATCGTGGATGATGCAGATAAGGGAATCTGGTTGTGCATCTTGATCTATGCAAGCACAGCCAGTGCAGTGTGGAGCCTCTTTGTGGCACTTAGCACTGGGGTGATGGCTTAGGGGGAAAAAGAGTCCTAGAACCAGAATGTCCCTCTCTAGGACTCCCTGTGTCCAGCTGGCTTGGCTGCGGGTTGCCAGCTCTGGGCACTCCAGCTCTGCAGGGCCTGCATGGCTTGAGATGCTATTAATTTTAAAGCAGCCTTTAGGAGTGTGGTCCCTGATGTAGCACCTGGGTCTCCTGGATGGTTAAGAAGGCATTTGGAGACTCTTGGGGCAGAATTCAGTTCTGTCTGGACTGTCCCTACCCCTTCCTGGCTCCAACAGCCTCCACAGGGTGTCTGGGGCTGCAGGAGATGACTTAGAGGAGAGGTCCTGTCCAGACCTCTGTGCTGTGACGAGAGGAGCATGCCTCAGTGCGTCAGCCTGGGACCGCTTGTGTGCATGGGACTTCCACTCTGTGATGGAACTGGTCTTGCCTGCCCTCCTGCTGTCAGACAGATACACAGACTTCTGTGCTGTTGGGATGTCATCAGTGCTGATTAAAAGGTCCTTTCTACGCATCCTTTTTGACCCTGCCCACTGTTCTTGCATGACTCATCCAGGGAGATGACAGCACAGTCATTGCAGGGAGTTGTATTAGCAGGTCAACACGTTTGCAAGATCCTGCAGTGTGAGCCTTATCCCTTAAGCAGGCTGTACTGTGCAGGAACTTGGGTTCACACCCGGCCACGGGGTAGCACGGGATTTTGGCAGTGTCCTGTACCAGCTGTGTGGAGGCAAGGCGTTGCCTTGTGTGTTTGCAGTGCCACATGACTGTGTGCATCCCGATCATACTCCGGAGTGTGTGGTTCAGTCACTTCGGACTTGGTACAGAACTGTGAGCTCAGGGCCTGAGAACTGGTTGAGATCCCATTGACTAAGAACAGATACCATCCAGCTGCCAACCACAATACAGAGCTAAACCCTGTTATGCTGCAGCTGTTGGACAGCCACATGGTCCCAGGCCATTCTTGCGGTATTTCTCCCACCCACCATCAATCACTAAAGCCTTGCAAAGGGGCAAGTAGGCTGGTTCAGGTGCTCGTGTCTCCTAGTTAGGGCAAATCGTTGGCCTTTTGATAGGGAACTGACCATTTGGCAGTCTCTTGGCCTGCCATCAGCAGTTGGTAGGACCACTGCAGCAGCAAATATGTTTACTGCATGTCTCCTTGGCAATTCTGGGAAAGGAGGGCCTCTATGTGAGGTGCTGAAGGTATAATCATGTCCCTGGAACGTAGCTGGAGGCAGCTTGTGGCAAAAGTCAGGATCTTGCATTGCGACATGGCCCTGAGTCATCTTGCTCTCCCAGAAGTCCTGAAGGGTTGCAGCAAAGGGCTTTTCAGCTGGGCAGCAGCAGGAGATGAGGTTCTTGGAAATGTAGCTGACAGCTCAGTTAATTAGTAGTGCTGGGGTTCAGTACGTGCAACTTGCACTGTCCCCACCTTAGCACGTTTCCCAAGAAAAACGAGCGCGAGTGGCAAGGTCTGTCAGGTGCCTCAAACAGCATGGTCTGTGCAAAGCTGATTCTGGCTGAGGTCCCTCACTGCCCTGTCCTTGGCCAGCTTCTCTAATACAAAGGCTAAGTCAGGTGTTATGTGCATCTTTTGGGCCTGATTTGAGTGATGTCTGCCTGCTGGCTCTGGACGGGTGCCGATCTGTCCTTGGGACGTTTGCCTGCCCTGCAAGTAGAGGGCGATACCTCCAGATAGGGTGCATGGTCTTAGCCTGGGTTGCTGGGACCTGTTGTTTTGAGGCCAGGTACAAGACAGTGGGTATTTGAGTTGTGTTTGTGTCGGGGGTGATTGCCCTGCTGTGGTCTGCCCTGGGAGCAGTCAGGAGAGTTTTACCCTGTCAGGACCACCCCCTGCAGCCTGGGCACTCATGCTGTGCAGCTTGCAGGCCTCTCGCACGCCGTCCCAGGCCGGCTGTGCTGTAAATACACCCTCGCTGTGCTCCTTCCCTGCCCCAGAGCAGCCAACAAACAGGGTGTGGGATCTGGGAAACAAAAGTCTCTCTGTTTTATTTTCCTTTCCTTTTTTTTCTGTATTGTTTGAGCTGGGGCTTGCTCCCGCTCCCTAGAGAAGGCAAGGACCTGGCTACCGCAGCCTGGGCTGGGCTGAGCCATTCCTGGAGCAGGCAGGGAGCTGGCACACATCCTGCTGCCAGTCCTTTCTTCCCTCCATCACCTCCCCTGTGCAGGACTGTGAAAGGGCACGCTGCAAAGCTGCTGGCCAAGGGCAGACGGAGCCGTGGGGACGGTGCCAAACCAGCACTGGGAGAACAGCACTGTCCTGGCCCGGCAAGCGCATGGGCAATGGCTGCCCAGCAGGTCACACAGGCTGGCAGTGCTGTGGCTTAACTCTGCTTGGCACGTGGAGAAGGCTCACTCTGAACGCAGCGCCAGGCGCTAGCATGCTGGGGAGAAGCCAGCTGGTCCCCTGGGGAGAGCCAAGAACCGTCTGCTCGGCCACAGGGCCGTTTTGGCTCTTACCTGTGGATTGAAGTGGGGCACTCGTCCATGCTGAAGTGGCTTCAGACCGGAGATGGCAATGGCCCAAATACCGTGTGCAAACAGGGTGTAAGGCCCAAATGGCAGAACAAGCAGGAGGGCAGCTTGCTGTCCTGCCTCCTGGCTTCCTCCTGAGCTGATCTCCTCCAAGCAACCCCTCAGCATCTGTGGGAGCCTGTTTCACCTTCCCGTCCCACTCAGCTGGGGACAGCACAAGGAGCCTGGCAGAGCTGGGTAGGTGGGTGAGTTTTACTCTCCTCACCTCTGCAGACCTGAGTTAAATTGTGCCTTAATGTGTGTATGGATGAACCCCACTGCTTTTGTATTCTTTGGGCACATCTGCATTGGGACAACTGGGAGAATACCCCATCCTTAGGCCAAGGGCAGGGCAAAGTGACAGGAGGGATGCAAGGGCTGAGGCTTGGAATAGTCAGGACTGCAATGGCACTCGTTACAGCTAGAATTTGCTTGCAGAGCTGAGAATGGAGGGAGGCCAAGAAAAGCCCTCAGTCACGTCAGCCAGCCTTTGGCTCCTGGAAAAGCTTGGAAGCAGGTTAAAAGCATGTAGCTGGGCTGGGTTGTGCTTGGACATGTGTGCAGTGGCTTCCAGGAACAGAGACCTCAGGCAATATACCCGGGTGGCTGGCCAAAGGCTGTAGTGAAGGGAAGGGGGATGGAGTGATTCGTGTCTTAGCTCCTGACTGTGCCTTACATCTTCTCTGCAGTGCTACGAGACATCAGTGAGCGAGGCAGGGACCTTGAGCAGATCTTGTCTCAGTACATCACCTTCGTCAAGCCTGCCTTCGAGGAGTTCTGTTTGCCAGTAAGTAAGGGGAGTCTGCCACCCACGGGAGTCTGCCCAAAATGCCTTATACCCTGCCCAGCTTCTCAGACTGGAGCATTTTGTGCCCCAGAGGTCAGGTCAGCCTGCCTAGCCTTGCTCCCTCCCTGCACCCACTGGCAAAAATGGAGATGCCAGTGCTGGCTGGGGCAGGGTGAGATGGGGACTATTTATACAGCCACTGCCTCCCTGATGAGATTACCCTCCCTTATGGAAAGGCCAACACCGCAGGAGAAACCCCTCCCTGCACAGGGTCTGACAAACCAACACCAGGCAGCTCAGCAGATGCCAGCCCAGGAGGGAAGATCCTTGGCTGCATCTGTCTGGGGAAGGGGAGATCCTGCCCCCAGGCAGTGTCTGCTGTGTCTGCCTCCTGTTTTGGGCTGTCCTGCCTGCCCTTTTCACCCTGCAGTGCTGCTGGCTGGATGCTTGGGAAAGCAGGGGAGCTTCCTTCGCTCTGTGCTGCGGGACGTGGCCTTGCAGGTTGCATTTCCTGGCTGGTGAGAGGCCAAGGTGTAGAGCAGACAGACCTCGCTCAGGGCCAGGGTTGCAAGGTCTGCCTGGAGAAAGGAAGCTACTTTGGGAGCTGATAACTGAGGCAAGGCTCCCTAGCAGACAGGGACTTTGCATGCAGGAGACCACTGCAGTCCTGTAGAACTTGCAGGTGAAATAGCACATTTGCAGGACTAGCCATTGCACGCCTCTCCTGGCTCTTGTAGAGCTAGGAGCCTGTGCCTTGGTTCTCAAGGCTTTTCAAGCAGATCTGGTAGTTATATGAGGAATTTCTTCTTTTTCTGGAGGAACTGAGCCAGCAGAGTCCTGCAACCTGGGAAGTGTTGGCCAGCACTACAGGCAGGAATTGAACCTGTGCCTCCAGCCTCAGGAACATCTCTGTGTCTGTCTATGTGGCCAGCTCTGCCCTTTCCCATGAGAGGGGCTGATCCTTTCTGTGCTGCGAGATCTTTTTCTGGCTCCTAGGCAGCACCCTTTTCTCTGTTTCACTCAGTTGTTGCTCTAGGGACCAAGGTCCAATTCCAGTGTAATCCTAGAAAGGCTTTTCCTGAGAGGCAGGTCCAACTTGGTGGCTTCCCTCCTTGCAAGTCTCCAGCAAGGTAAATCCACAGCTTTGCAAAGCAACAGATGCTGTAGGAGGATGAAATGTGAAACAAGGGTAGAAAACAACTGCTTTGTCCCTGCCCACCAGCTTTGCAATGGTCTGCTTCCACTTCCAACTTGGTGGGGGGCTTAGCTGCAGAGCAATTGCATGCAGATGTCAAACAGGCTCAGCACCCACTGTTGCTGTTACTTGACTCCTAAACCAGCTCTGGGGCAGGTGGTCCAGCACTGAAATGGTCCAGCATGTGATTTTTTGATATGGCTGGAAGCACCTGTAGGTGTCAGATGACACCCTTTGCCCAGTGGGCTGGCTTGTTTACTGATGGTAGAGCTTGGCTGTCAGGAAGCTTATTGACTGTAAAAGCTGACACAAAGGGGAGGAAACTGAGACTGGCACCTGCAGGTGAAATAGGTCAGGACCAGTGTCCCGAATCAGACCTTTTTTGCAAGCGATGCTGGTAGAAAATTCTCCCCACATCCCAAGCAGATCATATGGGTGTGCCCTGCACGTCCACACAGCCCAGGCGTGCCACCTCTTGCTCTTGTACCAAGTCTGGCTGAATTCAGGGGGAGGTTGTTCCCAAAAGCATCAGCTACTGGAGTCTTGCGATGGAGAAGCTTTTTAATTTCTGGCTTTGTTAGGGTGCCTCTTACTGTATGAGCTCATGAAAATGGAGTCAAGGCGCGAAGCGTGGCCCTCAAAACACAGAGCACAAGACAAATAAGAGCATCCAAGATGTATTAGCAATGACACAACCACCCAGCGGGTTTGGGTTTGGCAAGGGGAGGGGAAGGACCTGCCCCAGGAAGTGGGGATGATGCCCCAGCGTGGTGACTCTCCACTTTCTCTGTAACACACTGCTCTCTCTCCTAGACCAAGAAGTATGCTGACGTGATCATTCCCAGAGGAGCAGATAATGAAGGTGAGTGGACCTTGCCATTATATCCTGGCAGCCAGCTTTGGACTGTTGCTGTTGTGGCAGAGTTGGGTAGGAGGTAGCAGGACCTGCCACGGAGGTGACTCAGGCCATTGCCACCTGAGAGAGTGCTGTTACCACACACACGCGCTGAGATGAGCCTCTCCCTTTTGCTCCTGCCTGGACCATTAGTAATGGGGAGTTTGTGCTTTCCTCTGATCAAGCGTGGGAGCCCGTCTATGTCCAGTCAAACTCCTGGTTCACACCACACAAAGGGAAATTTGCTTTTCCAAGGCCAGATGTGCAACTGGGACAGCCAAGTCTCCACCTAGCTGGTATCAGCCTGACTGTACTGGCTTGAGTGCTGGGCTCAGCTGGGGCAGAGGCATGCAGGGTTGCAGCTCCCTACTGTGTGATAGGAGGGCATGGGAGCAGGGGAGACAAGCAGGGTCATCGTCTCTGGCTTGGCTGAAGTTTATTTGCAGTGATCCTAATAGAATCTCTCCCCCATGTCTTTCCCTCCCTTTTGCTTACAGTGGCCATCAACCTGATAGTGCAGCACATCCAGGACATTCTTAATGGAGGACTCAGCAAACGTCAGAGCAACGGCTACCTGAATGGCTACACTCCTCCCCGTCAGCGGCAGCCCTCAGAGTCCAGCAGCCGGCCTCACTGACCCCAGGCGGCAGGCGTGAGGCTGGGGGCAGAGGGCACTCTGGCCCTGCCACTGCCCCTCTGTACATACTGTCCGTTCATTCCCCCCTTATCTATTTAAGAAACCAGACAGAGACGAATGCCTTTTAATTTTGTATGTTGGAAATGCCGAATGAGAAGCAGCCGGCTGCTTGGGAGCCTGGACCGCCCACAGCTCCTGGCCTTGCTCAATAACTCCTCCAGCACGGAACCGGCTATAAATCTCTATAAATATAGAATTGCTCTATTTTTGTGTAAATGCAGAATAACGTAAAATTACTTGCCATAAGGTATTTGCCAGGCTCAAGCGTTGATGGGAGGGGGCTGGGAAAGAGGGTCCTGGGAGATGTTTGTGTCAGGATCTTCACCTCAAAGGCAGTAAGGAAGGAAGAGCATTCAACAACTGCTTTTGTATTGCAGTGGTCTCCATCCTGGGGAAGGGACGGGCTGTGGTGGAGGTGGCAGCTTGAGTGTGGCGTGGATTTTGCAACTGGGCTGGGGTTGCCTCCTGCCATTGCTGTTGAGGTCCAAGCTGGCAGGCACTGCACAATGCCACAGGGAGTTGGGAGAGTGATGTGTAATACCTCCCCTGACTGTCTCTGCACCTCCACGTCTCAGTCCCTCAACAGCATCACTTTCTGTGTCTGACACCCCTTCCCACCACAGGTGTGGGTCTGCTGTCACACCCTCCCACAAGGACCTGGTAGGCGATGCTGGTATGTGATTCTATAAACATGGCAGCTTGCATCTTTAGCAGTCCCACTGCCTGGCTTGGGTGAGGATGGTGCGTGGATACCTTCAGCCTCTCTGAAGCTCAGTGGCCATGTGTGTGGTGGGACTTACAGCCGAGCCCTGGGCTCAGCCCTAAGCCTGGAGGTTGGCTTGCAGAAGGTCAGAGGTGTGTCTGTCATTCCTCACTTGGAATGGTTTTGCTCTTGAATGGAGGATTTTGGGTCTGTAAAATATGGTTAAGGGAGAACCAGCTTCTTCTGAAAGGGGCAATAGATGATGAAAGGCAGCTGCTGAGCAGCCTGTCTGGGGGGTGGTGGGCAGCAGTGTGTAGCGGTTCCTGGGCTGTCTAGCATCTCAATATAGAACATCCACAAGTGCCAGCTGGGTAGCATGAAACTGGATGTCCAGGAGTCTTCTGCTTCCCTTTTTCAGAGCATGCTCTTGCCTGGCCTGTGTCCCTTGTTGCATCCTGGTGGAGGACGCTGTGTCCCTGCAGTATGTTTTCCCCAGGGCTGCCCAGGCAGTGCCCTCCCTTGCCCAGGGTGAGAATTGTTTCCCCATACCTGGTAGTGCTGCAAGAGCCGTGTCCCAGGAGAGCCTGGTGCAATTGTACTGCAGGTCTGGGGATGTGTGGAGAGCAAGGTGGGGCAGCTGGGCTGGGGCAGGGGCTTGATAGGAGCCGGGGAAGGGGATGTGGTGGGATGGTAGCCAGGAAAGATCCTTTGGCCCATCCTCCTGGGACTGACTTGCCCCACTGAAAACAAAAGTTTCATAGGCATCCCACAAAGCCTGGAGCTGGGACCCTTACCCTTGGTCCCTCTGATGATTTACAGTCTTTCCAGAGCATTGATTTTGCTCTGCATGTCTAAAAGCCTAAGACCTTAGACACTCAATGCTCCATCACTTTCCAGCCCCATGTGAGCTGAGACAAGCTTTTATTTTTAACAAGGAGAACAAGAAAGGAAACACCTCCCGCAGTGACTGCTGCTGGGGCAAACTCATTCCCTCTCGATCTGTGATGGCAGCACATGGCAGCCCTTTCCTCTCTGCAGACACTCCCCAAGACTTGTCAGCTTTGCCGTAATTAGCTGGCACTGGCTAATTCTAGGGACAGCTGTAGGTAAGAGGGACCAAAGCTCTGCAGAACTGGTGAGGCTTCTCAGAGCTTAAGCAGCCAAGACAGCTCTCAAGGTGAAATACTGGCCTCTTCTCCCCTGTAAATAAAGACAGAAGAAATGGATGCTGGTGCTTCTTGTCTCCTGTTTGGTGCTGCGTGTTGCTGGCCGCAGTCCCAGTGTGGGTGCAGACTTGGCCAACATTGTCTTAGTTCTGCAAGTCAAAGCCAGACCTGGAGCAAAGCTCTTTGCACAGACTGCTTTGGTGAAGAAGGAGGTGATGAAGGCAGTGGCTCTGGCTTTTGGCTGGCCAGCCAGCTCTCAGCAAGTCCTGGTGCACACATGGCTTGGAGTGCTGTTGTGAAACCCCTGTGCTCTCATGACAGCAAAGAGATGGGACAAGTTCAGCCCTTCCCAGTAAGTCTCTTGAACAGATGTCAGTCAAGTGAATTTGATCAAAAGACCTCACAGGCAGGTTGGCTTTAGCACTAGTGGAGTATCAGATAAGGGTGAGACTTTTAGCAAAGAGGTAAATCACTTTGTGGCAAATCACTTTATGTCAGCGTGGATTCACGAAGGGAAAGTCATATTTAAACAATCTGATAACCCTCTATGATGAAATGACTGGCTTGGTAGATGAGGGAAGAGCAGTGCATATTGTCTACTTTGACTTCTGTGAGGCTTTGATACCATCTTCCATAAGATCCTCATAGTGAAGCTGTTGATGCATGGGCTGGATGAGCAGACAATGAGACACATTGAAAACGGGCTGAATGGCTGGGCCCAAGAGTGTGGTGATCAGTGGCATGCAATCTGGTTGAAGACCAGTAACTAGTGATGTACCCCAGGGGTCAATACTAGATCCAGTTTTGTTCATGATCTTCATTAAAGATCTGGATGATGGGGGAGAGTGTAACCTCAGCAAGTCCACTGATGACACAAAACGGGAGGACTGGCTGGTACAGCAGAGGGTTGTGCTGCCATCCAGAGGGACCTTGACAGGCTGGAGAAAACCTTCTGACGTTCAATAAAGGGAAGTGCAAAATCCTGCACTTGAGGAAGAATAATCCCATGCACTAGTACATGCTGGGGGCTACCCAGCTGGAAAGCAGCTTTGCAGAAAAGGCCTTGAGGGTTCTGGTTAACCATGAGCCAGCAACGTGCCCTTGCAGCAAAGAGGGCTGATGGTGTCCTGGGCTGCATTAGGGAGAATGTTGCCAGCATGTTGAGGGAGGTGATCTGTCCCCTGTGCTCAGGTGAGGCCACACCTGAGTACTGTGTCCAGTTCTGGGCTCTGCAGTACAAAAGAGATGATGCTACTGGTGAGAGTCCAGCGAAGGGTCATGAAGATGGTGAAATGACTGGAATATCTCTCCTATGAGGAAAGGCTGAGAGAACTGGGATTGTTAAGACTAGAGAAGAGAATGCTAGGCAGGAATCGTAGATGAGTACCAGCAGGGAGGATGAAAAGAGGACAGAGCCCATGACAGGACATGAGGCACTGAGCACAAACTGAAACACAGGAGGTTCCTTCTGAACATCAGAAAACACTTCTTTTGCTGTGATGGTAACTGAGCACTGGCACAGGTTGCCCAGAGATGTTGTGGAGTCTCCATCCCTGGAGATACTCAAAAGCTGTCTGGACAAGGTCCTGGGCAACTACCTTTAGGCAGCCATGCCTGTGAGGGGGGTTGGACAAACTGACGTCCAGAGGTGCCTTCGAATCTCAGCCATTTTCAGCATTAGAAATGCCAAGGGTTTCCTGCTGGCAGCCTCCTCCCCCACAAGCACAACCCTTGGGTGCCCGCATCGGGCTCCTGGGAGGCCTTGGTAGATGGCGCTGGCGGGCCACCGCTCCAGGTTCAGCTGGGAGGTGAGCTGGTGCCAGCTCATCCCTTCTCCGGTGTCCCTCAGCTTGGCTATGAGATGTGCCGCTGTCCCTCTTCACGGGGACTTCCAGCCCAGTTGCCGGTGAAGTTCCACCGTGTGCGAGGCACCAAGTGCCGAATATGGCGGCGACAGGGCAGCGGGCGCAGGCGGGGCGGGCCGTGGCGGGAAGGAG